ATGATTGATTGTGCGATTATAATAGGCGGATGCCTGGGCATGGGACGCGATGCATTGGGGAGGGGCGGAATGCATGTTTTGATCTTGGGTTTTTTTTTTCGAAGTTGCGGCAGGAGGAGGAGAGGAGGGAGGGGAGATAGATAGTGTTGTTGGTGTCAGCGTGGAGGAGAGCGAAGACGTGGGAGTAGATGGAGCAAGAAGGATGTACTGTTTAATTGGCTTTTAATACCCCACACTACTACTGCCTTATATAGTATATTGCAAGTGTTGGCGACGATTGGTGTGTGTCTTCAATGGAGTCGTCATCTTTTCAATTCTCATCTCTCATCTCAGTAATGTGTAGTGCTTACTTCATACGTGTGCATAAATATAATTGTGCTAACAATGTAAACATGAACACCACATCACATGACCACGTAATCTCGCGTCGAGTCATTCTGTGGCTGAGCACATGTGGCGGTGCTGGGCTTGGCTGATGAAAAAGTGACGTCATCGCCTCCTTCCAGGGGAAATTGGAGATATGACAGCCACCAGTTACGCCTCTTATCAGTACGTACCTTGCGCTTGTCATGCGCTTGTCATGCGCTTGGAATAGGCTTGTACTTTCTTGGAATCACGCTAAGCCCTATTTTGTGTATCCTTGTTTATTTCCCGCCTTGGTCTTGTTCCGCAACGAACTGAACTAACTTTATTGTCTTAACTTCTTCCTTCACATCAATTCGTCCTTCTTTCTTCTTTTCTCCTTCTCTCCTAACTGTCTCTGTTTCTTCTCTATCTACCAAATATCACAAATACACTCCTTTTTATCTGTGAATTTATCACCCTCAAAACACCCCGAATCGATGAAGGAGCCCCCGCCTACCCAAGCAACAGTCACGGACCGTCTACGCTCATGGCTACACCCTAAACCAGACGAAAACGAGGGCACAGAGCTGCCCACGACCCTCCCTCCCACTACCTCACCTACCACCTCCACGATCCATAGTCACCATGACTCCAACGGCGGCGAGAAGAACATCACCTTCGCAGACAGCAACGGCAATGGCGCAACCCACGAAAATGGAAATGGCCACGCCATCAACATCGCATCCCTCTCCGGCACAACGCCACAGCCCGATACGGAGGCTGAGGGGACGGGGTCTGTCGTGAGCGGCACCGAGGAAAAGAAGAAAAAGAATATTGCCGTGCGCTTTGCGCTCACCACCAAAAAAATCCTCTGCTCGAGCTGGCTTAATGTCATCCTCGTATTCGTGCCTGTGGGTATTGCCGTCGAGGCAGCCCACGCTAGTCCGATCATCATCTTCGTGATGAACGCCATCGCTATTGTGCCGCTGGCTGGGCTGTTGAGTTACGCGACGGAGAGCGTCGCGAAGCGCATGGGTGACACCGTCGGAGCGCTGATGAACGTCACATTTGGAAACTCGGTCGAGCTGATTATTTTCATCATCGCTCTGGCCAAAAACGAGATCCGCATTGTACAGGCGTCCCTTCTTGGGTCAATACTAGCTAATCTGCTACTGATTCTTGGCCTTGCCTTTTTTATTGGTGGACTGAGATTCCGGGAGCAGATTTACAACAGCACGGTTACGCAGATGAGCGCTTGTCTGCTCAGTCTGAGTGTTATGAGTCTTCTGCTGCCTACTGCTTTCCACGCTGCCTTCAACGACCAAAATCAGGCGAAGGCGGATAAGGCAGTTGTCAAGGTCAGCAGAGGCACGAGTGTCATTCTGCTGCTCGTATATGGACTTTACCTTGTCTTTCAGCTCAACTCGCACGCGTACTTGTATCAGAGTACGCCACAGCACATTATCGATGAAGAGTCTGCACCTGGGCCAGTGGCGCTCTGGATGGAGTCTTCAACCGATGACTCCTCCTCCAGCTCTAGCTCTGATGACTCTGATGACTCGAACGGCACAGCCGCTAAGATCAAGCGCGCTATCAAACGTGGAGGCCGCAGACGCCGCAAGTCGAGCGTGAGCACCGCCAACACATTTGATCGCGCCAACCTATCCCGGAATACCTTTTACGAGGACACCGGCGGGCCATCCACGCAGCCCACGGGTGCTGCCGACGCAGACATCGAGGATAACTCGACGCCCCTACGTGCAAACAGCAGAAGCCGCCACAACAGCATCAATGAGAAGCAGGAAAGGTCGTGGCGTAAGGAACGAAAGGAGCGCAAGCGCCAAAAGCACGCCGAGAAAAAGGAGCGGAAGAGGGCAAAGAAGGCCCTGCGCGAGCAGGCCGAGGTGGAAGAGACCAAGGAGCCCATGGGTGACTACGAACCCCGCCGCGTCGACTTCGCCGGCGCGGACACGGCGACCAAGAACCCATCCCCAAACGCCCGTTCCTGAAAAGCATCCGCCCGGCCCTGCCAAAGACCCTCTCCCAGAGCGTCTTCACCCAGCCACCGCCCTCCGCGTCGCCTCACCCCGTCGCCCGCCGGGTCCAGTCCCACGTATCCGCTACGGCATCCGCCGCACGAACTCGCTACCATTACGGCTAGACACCCCTGCTGGCGTCGAGGCGGCAGCGGTTGCGCCTAACCAGCTCATCCACGCCTCGTCGTCTATTCCTATCCACCCTCATACCGAGAAAGTGGAAGAGGACGAGGATGACATTTCCCGCATCACGGCTGTTATTCTCCTGCTCGTCTCTACTGGTTTGGTTGCCGTGTGCGCCGAGTTCATGGTCGCTAGTATCAATGATGTTACTACGCATACTGCCCTCGGCGAGACGTTCGTGGGATTGATCATCCTGCCTATTGTTGGTAATGCGGCGGAGCACGTGACGGCTGTTACGGTGGCGACGAAGAATAAGGTTGATCTCGCTATTGGTGTTGCTGTTGGAAGTAGTATTCAAATTGGTATGTCTCCCCCCTTCCGCCTTATTTCTGGGAAGTAGAACACTGGCTAACATTTTTAACAGCACTCTTTGTAACCCCTTTCATCGTTCTCCTCGGCTGGATGATGGATAAACCCATGTCACTGTACTTCACCCTCTTCGAGACGGTATGTCTCTTCGTGTCGGCCTTCATTGTCAACTTCCTCGTCTTGGACGGCCGCAGTAATTACCTTGAGGGTGCGCTGTTGTGTGCCGCATATGTTATCATCGCCGTGGCAGCATTCTTTTACCCAGCTCTTGGGGACCAAAGTTTGTTGGGCGGTAATACTGCTGCTGGTAGTTAGATGGGTTGAGGATGAGGTGGATAGATGGGGATGATAGGGTGGGGAGAAGGTGGGTAGGAGATGGGTTGCTTTGAAACACTATGTGAATTTCTGTTCTGTAGTTAGTTACTTGAACTGAATTTGCAACGGGCAACCGATAAAACGACACTCTTAGTCGTGGAGAGTATGCCCTTTTTTGAATACGTCGTGTTTTCATGATTTGCCTGGAATCGAGTAGTGGAAGTCTCAAACCAGACCAAAAGATGTGTCTGCCTACCACCTAACCAAACCATGCGGCGACATAAAATGAACAAACTACATCTTGGTTACCGTTTGAAGTGAGTATGTTGCATCTCCTGGATATCCGTGGGTTAGCGAGTTCTCATATGTACGCTGCGAACTGTCCTTTATATAATGCTGGGATCGTTCACTTAGGCGCGGGGAAAGCAAGATAGTGAGATCTTACTTCAACGACGCAATTAAACTTAGTACAGGTAATGTCTGCAGAGCAGCAAATTATTAAATTAAATAGTAGATCGTACAAGGAAAGTGATGTTCGTTCAGTTCTAAATGCCGGGTACTCGACCACATTCAGGGGTAGTCGTCTGTACAATTTCACCCCACGCACTGAATATCGCGGGCTTCCACTTGACAAAAAACAACACAACGTTCGTCGTAATAGATATCCAACATTGCAAAAAGGTAGAACTCCATTCCAGTATCTAGAAGACTTACGACGCAAAACAAAAAATTCGACCCTGATGGGGATCGAACCCACAATCTCTGCCTTTCATAAACGTGAGGTCACGTTAGTCGGAGGGCAACGCGGTACCTTTTCGCCACAGGGCCAGATAGTTGTACGATTTCCGAACTATAATGTACTATACCCCACTACACCCCGCCTCTCCAATCGAAAACACGAAATTGAGGATTTGTAAAATCCTTGTGTTGGATTCGCAACAACCTCCTTGTACGCAACCTGGCTCCTGTGAGCAGATGCATGGAGGACAACTCCGGGCGCCTCTTGGCTCTTAATACATACCATACCCCCGATTATCTCTTGAGATGGCCGGAAACTATGTTGGTGACTCGGATGTGAAAGATGGTCTTCCTCCTGTGGATCACGGGAAGTACTGGCCGCCCCCTTTTACTCCCCTGGTCTGCAGTTGCTAATCATTGCTCAGTCCCTTGAAGTTGTTCGATATTGCCAGGGAGCAGGGAAGGCCACTGTATACGTCGGCGCCTATGGTGAGGTACAGCAAGGTAGGCAGGACTGGACGACAGGTTACTGGACGGTGGCTGACGAACTGGATAGCTTGCTTTTCGCCAGACAGTGCACAAGTATGGCGTTGACTTATGCTGGACGCCGATGGTATGTTCCATTCTGTCCTGGGCTATGAGCATGAACCCTCACTTACATTCTTTCCACAGATTCTGGCAAAAGAGTTCAACAGGAGTGTCTTCGCACGAGACAGTGGTATGGAAAACCTCGCTGCCCCCTTTTCGCTTTCACGGTCTCTGACTCTTCACCAGACTTCACACTTCCCCCTTCTCCGACCTCCGTCCCAACTATCCTCCAATTCGGCGCTAACTCTCCCCTCGAGTTCGCGCGCGCAACCAGCACCATGGCACCCTTCGTGTCAGGCGTGGATCTCAACTGCGGCTGTCCCCAGTCCTGGGCATGCGCAGAATGCCTCGGCGCCGCGCTGATGAACAAGCGCGAGCTCGTTGCTGATATTGTCAAAGAAGCGAAGGCGACGCTGAAGAGGGACGGGTATGAAGGGCGGAGGACAGTTAGTGTTAAGATCAGGATACACAAAGACTTACGGTATTCCCCCCTGACAACCCACATACGCCACGAGGCTTCCACAAACGCAAAAGAGACGAGAAGGACTAACAAAACCAGCCAAACAATAGACTTCATCAAAACTGTCCAAGACGCTGGCGTCGACTTCCTCACTATCCACGGCCGCACCAAAGCTCAACGCTCCTCCGAGCCTGTCAACACCGAAGCCCTCACCCTCCTCCGACCCCACGTCACCGTTCCCCTCATCGCCAACGGCGACGTCTCAACCCTCGTAATCGCATCTTCCATCGTCGCTGAAACAGGCGTGGACGGCGTCATGTCGGCGCGCGATATCCTGGCCGACCCGGCGCTGCTCGCGGGGCACGATACCTGTCCGTGGGAAGCGGTTGAGCACTTTATGAATCGTGTCGTGAGGGCGCCGATTCCGTTTAAGCTTGTGGTGCATCATTTGAGTCAGATGACGGGTAGTGCGGGAGGGGGTAAGCCGGCGTTGCTGGGGAAGGAGGAGAGAGGGGAGCTGATGGAGTGTCGGGATATGATCGGGGTGATTGACTTTTTGGATCGGGTTAAGGGGATTACGCGGCTTTAGATGGGGGCATATAGATGAGAGCATATAAATGACAGCAATGAAGCAGAATGAAATGGATATGGCTTGTACATGTAGATTATGCTTCTATTTTGTTGTACATTCCGGGCTAGATTTTTTAAACCGCCCATATGAGCGCCCTTCACCCCTCTCCCTCGCCAACCACCACCTGAAAACACCACACCTATAAATACAATCGTACATCTAAAGACATGCCGCCATGACTTCGATCAAAGAGTGGGGAGAGCCAGACCGCCGAGTCCAGTAAACCAAAGCAGACCCCTCGGACCAAAGCGCCATCGCTCGGGCGCAACGAACTCCCACCTCCACACATGCTATATACATACAAAATGTGCCTTACAATTACAGTACATTTCGGCTGCCCCTGCTGAAATACGCATTTTCCATAGCCGCGAATCCTAGATCGATCCCCGTAGCCACAAAGGAAATCGCTATGCAAAGAATGCCGACAAAAAAGGGCCCGTTTTTTAGTACTCGAAAAGAAAATTCAAGAGGATCGCGCTCCTCATATGTAGTCGCGTCCGCTCTTCTGCAGCTCGATGAGCCTCCAGCCGCGGGTCTCGGGGTTGTTGACCTCCTCGGGGATGCGGGTTACGCCGATGGCGTAGGTTACCAACTGGACCTTATCCTCCATTCCGGCAGCGAGTTCGTTGGACTTGGCGTTACGGTAGACGTGGACCTCCTGTGTCCTGCAGGTGACGATGAAGACGGGGACATCTCCGGGCTCCAGCATTCTCGCGGACATAATGTCGACGTGCCTGATATCCAGGATCCTTCCGTCAGACTTCAGGCCAGCAGTGGTGTACTGCTTCGATAGCGCGTCGTAAACCGAGAACTGTGCTGCGCTGAGCCACAGTCTAAGGGTCACGGTGTCGCCCTTGACGTATGCGTCGAGAACTTCAGGGAGAATATACTCGCGCATCTCACGGAGGAATGGCTCGAGCTGGAAACCCGGGTCCATCTCGCGGAACTTCTTGATAACCATTGCCGTCTCGTTCTCGGCGAAGAAGCCGGCAATGCGGTCAGAGATCGATCGCGCAGTCGATACGAGGGGGTTTTCGGATTCGTTGTAGGCAGATTTCATTGAGAAGAGACCCTGCATGACCTTGTTGGAGTCGCGGAACTCGCGCCACGACTCTTTCCAGGCTGCATCCTTGTGGAGAGTGACATTGGTTCCGGCACTACAAATTGTTAGCATCAAATTTCTAGTATGTTGGGGTATGGTCGTACTTTGGATCCTCCTTGGCGACCTCCCGAGGACCTGGAACGCCGCCGTTTTCGGCAAGCTCTCTGGCCTCTCTCGCCTTCCTCCTCTCCTCCTTCTCAACCCATCCACCATATCTTGAGCTGCTACCATCATCGATGACATTCTTCACGTTCTTGTATGCCTCGGTCTCGCGAAGCGGCCGGGTTGACTTCTCAAGCACGTCCCCGGTGGCGTTGACCGTGGACCGCACACCCTTCACCACATGTGTGTCCCAGGTCCACGCAGCTCCTTTACCCACGGCACCAGCAGTTGTCTTCAACACCTTCGCGCCGGTAGACGAAACTCTGCTTGTGCTGGCCTCGTATGCTTGACGTGCGCGCTTTACCGATTCGCTCTCCGTGAATTGATGGGCCGAATCCGACAGAGCCTTAGTTCCCTCGTTCCACTCCTTAGAGGATTTGAACTCGGACTGCAGTGTCTCGGTGAACACCTGCCATGGCGACTTCTCTCCGTGAGGTGGAGGAGGTGGTGGGGCTTCCTTCTTCTCTTCTTTATCGCCTTCGGACTTCTCCTCGTCCTTCGGCTTCTCCTCTCCAGCTTGCTCGGGGTTTTCGCTGGCCTTCTTGGCAGCCTCCTCAGCAGTCTCCTGGGTGGCAGATTCTTCCTTAGGGGCGTCCTTTGCCGCGTCCTTGCTCTTCTCCTGTCTCAGCGATGCTGACTGATGGAGAGTTCGCCTAGATCCGGGGGAGGTTTGGTCGGCTAGAAAGGATTCGGGTAGGAATTGGGATCTGAGTGGTAATAATCCAACACGTAGAGAAGATGTCGAAGTAGAGTGGAGACTGGCAATCTGCGCCTGGCTGATAGACTGCGTATATGCCGCAATTCGTGTGTTCACAGGCCTTGCCGTAGTCGCAGCCCTTAAGGGAGCGCTCAGCGGCGCTCTTGCCGACAGCCGTAAACCGTTCATGTCGCCCTTTGATGTTCCCTTTCGCAGGCAAAAAAGTCGCTAGATATGATAGATGCCCACAAATACAAGGCAGTGCCGATACAGGACAGGAGTCGCTGGGGTAAAGAGAGGATTGGGGGGCAACTCGGTTGTCGATGTTGTGCCTGTGGCGGCGCTCCGATATATTTTCCCCGACTACCAAATTGACAAAAATCTAAGGGCGACGGGACTTGCCGGCTCGGCGCTAGCGGAACTGTACATGCGATGCAAGTTTATTGATCAAGTCCGTCCTCACGAGACATTCCACATCGCAGTCAACAACAAAGCACAATGAGTAGGACGGCAGTCAGACGTGTGGTGGCCCTTACGGCACTCTCTGGAAGGGCAGAGGCTCCCGCCATCGCCAGGTCCGGATTCCAATGCCTGCAGCGACAGCAATTTTCACAGGCCCCCCGACGCCGAGCAGACGGGTGACCAGGAACCCCCGAAGTCAGCTCCCTTTAAAGCAGACTCGACCTTCGGCCTCTCATCCGACAAGTCATCCTCCAGCGCTCCGAGTCCGGCCAAACGCCCCGCCCTCAGCGACCTCTCTGCCATCTTCGAAGAAGGACAGGCCTCAAAGTCGAGCTCGCGATTCCCCAGCCCAGCCGGACTGTCAGCATATAACAACATGAGCGCACAGCAGCGCTACGAGGAGCCGCACCACTTGCACGTGTTCGCCACGAAGCACAACACACACATTACGGTGACGAGGCCCAACCGTGACCCGATCATCTCGATGTCGGCAGGGAACATTGGGTTCAAGCACTCGCAGAGGAAGCACTACGATACTGCGTTCCAGCTGGCGAGTTATGTGTTTGGGCGGATGAGGGATACGGGGTTGCTCCCGCAGATTAAGAAGCTGGAGGTTATTCTGAGAGGGTTTGGACAGGGGAGAGAGGCGGTCACGAAGGCGATTTTGGGAGTCGAGGGAATGCCGTTCAGAAACAAGATTGTGAGGGTTACGGATGCTACGAGGCTGAAGTTCGGTGGTACGAGAAGTCCAAGGCCCAAGAGATTGTAAGCTGGGGATGCTACGAGGCTTGGATTGGGTGAGACAAGAAATGGCATGGCCATGGATGTTCTATTAGAGTGTTGGCTGGAGACACGGGGATGCGGTTGGCTCATCACATGGCAGAGTTCACGCTGTATTTTATAAATATGTAACTTTTTACTAGAAACGGAAGAACCCTTGGGTATCAAAATCTCATAAACGCCGTCCGCCCGCCTCCCCTTGCTAAAA